CTTAGCAAAATAATGTAAACATATTAGAGAACAGGAAAATATAGGAGCAATATGATATAACTAGCAGTAAAGCCCGTTGTGAAAGCAATACAACGAGATCTAGAAAGAGGCTCTGGGGCAGTGCTCTGGCTTTGGGCAAACAGTGTCAATTTGCTGTGGTGATCTCAGCAGGGTATAATGACAGAGTCCACTGTTTTCTCCAGAGGAACTGATCTCTGCTACCTGAAGAGCAGTTGTAATTGTGAGTGATCTGTAGCCCTCACCTGGAGATTGGCAGCAATTGTTACCCAGGACAAAATGGCTGGTTTGGAGGATGTAGTCTATGGCATTCTACCGGTCTGAGGTCCCACCCCTCTGCAAACCCCACCCTCTCCAGGCTCCACCCCTCAAATCCCCAGGAATTTGTCAGCATGTAGTTGGCAACCCCATCTCCTTCCCAGCTAACCATCAACCTACCATTATCTGCCCCTTTGACTTCAGCTGACTTCTGCCCTCCCTTCTGCAGAGCAGTTGTAATTCTGAGTGATCTCCAGCCCTCACCTGGAGATTGGCAACAATGGTTCCCTATGTGGGACTGACTGGTTTGGAGGGTGGAGTCTATGGCAGTGTACCTGTCTGAGGTCCCACCCCTCCTCAAACATCACCCTCTTCAGGCGCCATCCCTCAAATCTCCAGGACTTTCCCATCTGGAGTTGGCAACCCTATCAGGACTGGCCCCAATGTGTTTTCTCCCAAAGGCCAAAGTAGGTGACAGGACCAAGCTTAGTTGCCTACCAACAGGCACTGAGGGGAATGTAGGGTTGCCAGCTCTAAGGAGGGAAATACCTGGAGGTTTGGGGGGTGGATTCTGTAGAGGGCAGCATTGGGCGGGGGGGGGGCGGAAGGACTCAGCAGGTATAATGTCATAGGGTCTACCCTCCAAAGCATCCATTTTCTCCAGGGGAACTGATCTCTGTCATCTGGAGATCAATTGTAGCAGTGGGAGATCTCCAGGTCCCACCTGGAGATTGGCAACCCTAGGGGAAAGTCAGCTGCACAGCAGGGGGTTGAAGAGAATGGTTTGATGGCTGATGGGCCAAGATTGGCAACAATAGTTCCCCAGGAGCCCCATCGTAAATGCACCAAACAATTCCTAAAGATTTTCCAAAACACTACTCTGTCAATAAATTGCAACACTTTAAATTAGCACCAAAGCTTTAAGATCTCTCCAGCTGTCACCTGGAGACTGGCAACAGCTTGTCTGGAGTGTGGGCAGTATGGCATTGTATGTGTCTGAGGTCCCCCTCTTCCTCCTCCTCCTCCTCAGACCCCACCCTTAGCAGGCTTCATCCCTAAAATATCCTGGAAGTTTCCAACCTGGAGTTGGCAACCCTATGTCCTTTCCTGGCAACCAGCAGCCAACCTTTATCTGCCTGTCTGTCTTAAGTTTTACAACCCCCTCCCCACAGCCTCTGCCTAGGGAAAGGGCAGCTGACATCATTCTCCTCTCCCCTATGAGGTATGTTATGCAACTGAAAATTCCAACTGCCTTGCGGGGGGGGGGGGGTTTGAGGGGTGGAATGGAGGGAAGTCCAATCAGCTTCCATATGCAAATGACCTTGGAACGCTGGGCGGGACTGCACAAAGCAGCCAGTCAACCCAGCCAGTGTCTTCTGAGTGGCAGTTCTTCCGGCCAAACACTAAAGGCGGGCATTTTAGAACGTTGGTCCCCACTATTCAATTATTATAAGGGAGAGATTGTACAAATTATATTAAACTGAGTACAGTGATCCATTGCAAACAGAAAAGTTATCAAAACTAACCTGCACTGTTCTAAAGTCAGACAACTGTGAACAAAAAACTGCTGCCCTTGTATGCATTTATCTAAGTAAGGGCAGGGCAGGCCAAGTAAAACTCTCATTTAACCCATGTGGTGCCATAGTTGTTAACTGAAAATTCCACTCACTCTTTTCTGAGGAGGGTCTTATCCAGGGCTATTTTTGGGCAGGAACACACAGGAATGGAGTTCTGGCTGGCTCCCAAGTTGGCCACACCCAGCAGGAACTCATTAGCATAATAGGCCACACCCAACAGCAGAAACTCATTAGGACTGGCGACATTAGGGGTGTGTGGCCTAACATGCAAAGGAGTTCCTGCTACAAAAAAAGCCCTAGGTTTTCACAACAAACAAGGTAAACAGAATAAGAAGCAAAAGGTGGGTGTGGCTGGATGACCATACTTCTGGTAACGTGGGGGTGTGGCCTAATATGCTTATGAGCTATGCTGTCAGAGGTGTGGCTGGATATGCTAATGAGTTTCTGTTGTTGGGTGTGGCCTATTATGCTAATGAGTTCCTGCTGGGCTTTTTCTACAAAAAAGCCCTGATCTTATCATTATGGCTGTGTGACCTATAAATTGCCCCAAAAGAAAAATCTTTGGGAGCATGGATTTGTTCTAAGAAATGTTGCCCCATTTTTTTTAAATGCTAGATGCTGTGTTTGTGTTCACCAATAAGCCCCTTTAATTTCCTTTTTGGTTTCCCAGTATAAATTTCACTGCATTTACACTTAAGTACACTGCATAATTTGAACTGCATGTTGTAAAATAGTTTAAAGTATATTTCTTATTATCATGTGGACTGATCGTCAGAGTACTGGTAAATTTACAATAGGCACAACTGTTACATGGGAAATGGCCGGATAGAAAGTTTGATCCCGGCAACATTTTCTGTAGGTTATCTGGTCAGGCTGTGTTACTGTGTTACAGTTTCTCTCTTAAATTGCCAATTCTCTAAAAAGCAACAGCTGGTTTTTAAATCACAAGATGGTATATCATATCATTCTGTAGTGTTAAATATCACAGAAAACAGTTTCAAAATCATAACAGCAATACTTGTCACCAGGGAATTCAAAAATTCTAATGCTAGATGTGGACACTATTCAAAGAAAAGTGATATCACAAGGTAGTCCTACAGAAGAGCTACCAGTTTTAGAAGATGGCACTACACATATCTCTTAAAGACAGTGAATAGCTGATTCTATAGCATACTTATATTATAGGTAATGCTGCTGTAATAGGCAACAGAGATTCTAGTGTGTTAACTGCAGCCACGCTGACCTACGTGCAACATTAGAAAAAATCACATCTTTCGGAATGCAGGAAAATACGACAGTTAAAAAGAGCTCGGAGTTATTTTCCTTAATTAAAACAGTAGTTAAACTGCTATGCAGTACGAATGCTTGGACCTTAGCAATCTCTTAGGAGAACTGCACTGAATCTCCAGCCCAACCACACCCTTAAGGGAGAGAGGGGCAATTTCTGGCCAAGTATGGTCTGTGTTTGGTGTAGTGGTTAAGTGCTACAGTTTGGTGTAGTGGTTAAGTGCGCGGACTCTAATCTGGGAGAACCAGGTTTGAGTCCCCACTCCTCCACTTGCACCTGGCTGGATGACCTTGGGCAAGCCATAACTCTAGCACAGCTGTTCTTGAAAAAGAGCAGTTTCTGTCAAGAGTTCTCTCAGCCCCACCTACCTCACAGTTTGTCTGTTGTGGGGAGGGGAAGGGAAAGGAGTGTGTAAGCCGCTCTAAGACACCTTTGGGTAGTGAAGGGTGGGGTATTATTCCAATCTCCTCCTCCTGTGTTCATTATCCATTTACATGAATGGATATAATTAGTTCATTTAAAATATAATATATATATTATATTATATATAATATAACAGAATTTAGACATGATAGCTAAGATGCCATGGGGGAAAAAAACTCTGTAAAGGAAGCAAATAAAGGAAATCATGGAGTTGGCAGGTACCTCCAGGGTCATCTAGTCCAACCCCCTGCATAATTCAGGAAATTCACAAATATATCCCCCCCACAACCCCAGTGACTGCAGCTCCATGCCCAGAAGATGATGAAAAACCTCCAGGATCACCAGCCAAAATGGCCTGGAGAAAAATTGCTTCCTGACCCCCAAAGTGGCAATCGGCATTTCCCTGGATGTGTAAGAAAGGGCCACAAGAACTGAGCACTGATGCAACCCGTCCTGCCCTCCCTCTCATAATCCACCTAAATTCACAGAATCAGCACTGCTGACAGATGGCCGTCTAGCCTCTGCTTGAAAACCTCCAAAGGAGGAGGACTTTTACTTGGGAGTTAATTTTTAGTAGAACTCAATTTGCCAGGATTTTTTTAATAGTACTATATTAAGACTGATGAGGGACTATCGTTTTATTTATGTTTTCTACCAATTTAGCAGTGCTACCATGTTTTAAAGTGGAAGTGACCAAAGTTCATGAAAAATTATATCAAGAACTCACATCATGTGCCAGTTTAACACCACACTTAACTGCCACGTAGTAATGCTTCTGCCACCTCCTTCACCCTGGATGTTACTGCTCTCAAATGCTATACTGGAATGCAGAAGGAGTGGATTTTAATTCAGAAACCTTCCAAGCATCCTTTCCTATGGAAGAACACATGCTAGCCCACAAACAATCCAGATTAATGGTCCCTTGCACTAAAAGCCACTGTACTAAAACAATATCCAGCTCTGCCAGTTCAAAGAGGCTGCCCAGGAAAGGCTTACTAAGCTCATTTCAGGGTTATTTTCAAAGAAAGCATCACTCCCTTAGGGTTGCCAAGTCACGGCGGGGGATTATATGTCTTCACAGAATTTGTGCTATGGGGACGGCGAGACGCATTGCATCCGCTGTCGCCAGGATGTGACGCTATGCGTTGCTCTGGCAACGGGGCTCCAAACAGCCCCGTTGCCAGAGCGACACGTAGCGTCATGTCCTGGTGACAGCGGTGCAACGCATCTCGCCGTCCCCGCAGCACAGATTCTGCGAAGACATGCGGATCCCCCACCGCGATTTTGTGAGATTTGGTAAGCCTACACTCCCTTAACTGTAAGAGATGGTCAGCTTTCCATAATCAATAGATAATCTGCACCTACTCGCCAAGCCACATCCAAGTCACATGTTGATCACTGGCAATACATGCCAGGCAACCAGAGCCAAGGCTTACCTGGAGAAGTGCTGCTGTCATGTAGAAAACTATAAAGATCAAGGTGAGTGTTGTGTGGCCACCCCGCATGGAACTGATGGTGTAAAGGAAAATCAAGTGGCCAGGAACCACAAGAAGAAAGAGCACCCGAGCAGACTGGGAATTCACATCGCGGCTGCCAGTCAGAGTAGACAATACCGAAAACGACAGCCGGAGGGTCTGACCCAGAATAAGGCGGCTCCCTGTGTATTCAGCGTGTGATAAGGGACAGGTTCGCCAAAGAGCCAAGAACGCGCCGCCTCTTACCTCGTCCCCTTCGTGGGGCTGGTAGTCAAAGCACAGCGGCGGGCAGTATGCGGCGGGGTTGGCCTCCATCAAGCGTGACTTATCCGCCAGAGGGTCCAGCGTGTCCACCGTGCCTTCGATGGTGCAGAGGCCCTGCTGCCAGGAGGCCTGGGCCCGGGACTCCGCTGCCAAGTACGTCTTCAGCACTTTGCCCAAGGAAAGGTGGAAGCCCAGGTCGAAACACTGGGGAGGCGGGAGAGAGGGGGAGAAGACGCATCATCGCGGGTTCAAGTCGCAGCCTCGCTACAGAAGTTCCAAAAGGAAGCTGCCCTCCTTCATTATTTCAGCCTCAGTTCTGGTCAATTGGACAGAAATGCATGTGATTGTAGATGCTAGCAACAAATCTGAAGTCCCGCGAAACAGGAAAGAAAATGTATTGAACTCTTACAGTGTAATTTTTTTCAATTGCACAACTGCATTTTATTCCTGGACTAGATATGAAGTTAGTTTGGTTTATCAGGGATTATAGAAAGATCAAAACTCGCAGGCAAAAGTCCCTGAAGGGTACCAACCTGTATCATAGAGAAATGCTAATAAGGGAACCCATCCAGACTTACTTCTTTAAAGGAACTGTCTGTATTTAGGATTTTTCCTCACCTCCATGAGGGCTATAAATTCTAAACAAATTTTATGTCAACTTCCCAACTCTCAAGATGGTTATAAAAAAAGATCAAGACTCCGCAAAAGGTACTTGATTCTGCATTACAAGGCTTATTCTTGGCTGCACTATATACGCACAGGCATATGAATTCTAGGTCAGACCACACTTTAGGGAGGCTGTAATGCAGAGCCCAGAAATCTAATACTGTGTTAGCAGAGATTTATGGACTGATCTAGACCCAACCTCCTGCATTACTATAGAAGCTAGCAGAAGATCTAGCAATGGAAAATTTGAAAATACGCAGAGCTGTTAATGAATTCCTTAATAATAGTAATTCAAGTAGTGCTATACTCCTTATTTACCCCTCCCCCATGTCTAAAGGGCTAAGGCAAATGAGACAGCAGGCAGAGAAGCATTTGGATTGATTTGCTACAGTACTAGCATTTGCAGATGTCCAAGCACTCTGGCTTGCATAACCAAGTTAACCTCCTATTCTACGCAGTTAACCTCCTATTCTACGCAGCAGCTCCATCCCAACCTCTTTAGACACTGCAACACAAAATAAAGTAGGAAAGGGAGGAAGTTCAAAGAACACAGGCTAGTCTGACCACTGCTATACATTTTAAGGTTACCTGAACTGAAGAAAGTACTGCAAGGGCTTGGACACTTGCGGGGAGCCATCTCTGAGGCCTCTCCAGGCATCCCACTCATGTGGAGGTAAGTGGAGATGCGGCTAGCCTGGACAGCAACAAGATTGCCACCAACACCTGCAGAAAGCAGAAGACACTAGGTATAGTAAGTCCACAGAAGCTGCTGTCTCTGTGCGAGCTCAGTTCTTTCCCCAAGGATCACATACGTGGCAGCTCCCATTCCCCTATCACATATGGTAGCAGAGCTATACAAGATTTAATTGGACTCTGCCATTTGTAGATACTGCCAACACAAAGAACTCACCATTGATAACAGGTGTGAAGACTGCCATCCCTGCAAAATTTGGATCCGACACAGTTTTACCCAAGATTAAACCTCCAACACTGCAAAAAAAATAATAATATATATATATATTTAAGAAAAAAGACCTGAAGAGAGAATAGGCCCTTAAATGCTTTAAAGGCATCCACAAATAGTCATTGCTTTAACTGTAACTACTAAACAGAATTTGTTTTCAGGGCAGCACTAAATGCAGGTTGGTAATTCATGCAGGTTTTTTCATTCAAAACACTCCCCCTCCCCATGTACAAAGGGCTTTTCACTCATGGAGGATCAACCATTTGCAGTCCACCCCTTGAAAAGGCAAATGAAGAGCAGAGATTACAAAATTTAATTGAACTGGATTTTGAACTGGACAAAATCCAATTGAACTGGATTGGCCAGGATCCACCCTTCCTCAGTCTGCTCACTGGACTGCATTCTATTCCAAGGGACTTCTGATGAGCAGTCTGAGCTTGTTAAAATCTGAGATGGTATATCTGCACTTGGAGATGAGTACAAGTTCCGGGAGTACTTCTGAAAACCCAGAATTTTGCACTGATGGGCTTGAAGAAGAGATCCTGGTGCTTAAACCTTCTTCAAGTTTTAGGACTGAGTCCTGCCCTCTCATCCCCCAGTCTCTGTAGCTCCAGTTCTACTCCTGAGGTTCTGCTACATCAATGTGTGCAAATATTGACAGAAGATCTTCAGACTGCATCTCCAGTAGAGAGGATTCTAATCCTAAAGATGACAGAGCTGCAGGAACTGCTTGTGAAGAGGCCATTGTAGGAGACAGATTTCATGGGGCCCAGAACCTGATCCGTGTGAATGACGGATGCGGCAGAAGCACCAGTGGCCAATCTAAACCTTGCCCAACTAGTATGCATTCTACATGCCATCCTTCTTTCAAGCAATTGTCTTTGGTGCCATATGCGATTTGGGAAAAACAATATTTTTGATTCAGCAGTTTTGCTTGCAGCTGCCCAATAGATTGTTGCTGCTTGTCTTATTTTTGGCTGCCAGACTGCTTGGCTAAGGAAGGGGTTCCCTACGCATCTGCCCAGGGCACATTTCATCTGGGGCTGGTAAGTACCCCAGTAACAATACATAACTATCACCACAGGGAGAAGCATGTCTTTTCACCGAATACAGAGATTAAATAGATGTGGATTTCAAAGAACATGTTTATAAGGCTATTTATCCTGATCAAGAGAACTACTTCAACCTCAGCCTTGGAATGGTTTACCCACTTCTCCTATGTTGTTTCCCCCACTCATTTTTAACCACCTTCTGGTAAGATTTTGAACAGAAGCCTACAGGCATCCTTCTCTGCAACAGCCACCTGCAGCCTTCCTACCTGCTAATAGCCATAGCAATGATGACTGGCTCCCAGCCAGAGTACAAAACCTCCCGGGTAGCTGGATTCCTCTTGGCGATGATGATCCAAAGGGGCAGCAGAGCAACAAAGAAAGCAAACACCAGAGGATTCACATAGGCTTTATCCTCTGAGTGGAAAGAAACAGGAGGTCAGAGAACAACCACTGCAGGGCAATGAGCAGGCATCAGATCCCACCCCACCCCACAGAAGCAGGCAGCAAAGTACCCCCTGTCCTGTGTTAACCTGACAGGGCTCTGATTCACATAGTATTTAAGCAGCTCTCAAGCACAGCTCAATGCTAGGAGTTCAACAACAAAGCCACTCCCTGCAATATACACAGGCAGTTTCAGTCCTAGCTGATCTCCAGCAGTCCACATGGCAGAGAGATAATTTCCAGCTATCAGTTGTGGAGTTTGTAGATAGGTTATTGTTTTAAGTGCAAGCTGACCTTTGGCTGGTGCTTAGTTTGACTCTCCACTAAAATGCTCTATGAGCACTAAGGAATTAACAATTAACACAGTGATGGTTAAGAGAATCAGCAGAGCAAGCACTGGAAGCTTACTACTGGATGTCCCCATGATGCGTTTGTAGTTCCCTAGTCCATGAGTAAGGCCAAAATTGTAAGTGCCACTGAAAGCACTTTGGGCTGGACATGTGAAACACAGGGAGGCAGTTCTAGATGTGTAAGCAGCAAATTTCTGATGTGTGACAAACAGAACAGCAGCTTTAAACACAGTAATACCAGGTTTCTGAATCAGATGGCCCCACATAAAGAGCAGTTCGCAATCACACTTCAAAGCTTCTGTGCTTTACAGTGCATATGTGATTTGGGGCTGACAACGGAAGAGAGGAAAGTTTGCTCTAGAAGAGGGAGCATGCATCCACAGTGAGCTCCTGGTTTGCAAACCATGCATTGCAGAAAGTCAGCAGTATCTCTGTACTGGACTAGTGCAGCATCAAATGCACCTTAAGAACTAGATGGGGGGATGGGTTAGGATTCCAAGGTAATTTGTAGTTACTTCCTTATGGCATCTAAAATATGCAACATAAAAAAGAGGGCCATATGCAACCTCCTTTATCTTACCTAGTTCTATGTAGAGGCCCCAGCTGATCCCAGAAAGCAAAGCTAAAGTGATGAGATCACCCAGACTCGCAGCAATAGGTGTAGCCACATTGTCAGGGTTAATGCCCATCTTCCTAGAGCCGATGATTACGCCAATCATTATCATGCCTAGAGGACCAGAAAGAGGCAGTTTAGCCTTGTTGCAAAAGCAGTGCAGGTACTGAACACTTTCCCCTCTCCCTGCCCACCTTCAAAGAATTGCCTTCTTACCCAACACGAGGGAAGCTATGAAGGCTGTAGCCACACTACTGGCACAGAGAAGGATGGCATGGCCAATGCTGAAGTGTCCATCTGGGATCCAGCCAAATACCACTGCAGCAATTGACGCCAGAAAACCTACCACTGTTGCCTGAACCTAGAAAAAAAAACAGCCAGATATTAACGGAGGAGACCAAAAACAAAAGTTATGCTCCTGATCCCAGTCAGAAGGAAGCCATAACTCTGGCCAAGGGCTTGTGGCCTCATCACCTCTGCTGCTGGTGTCAATTCAGCCCTTTCCCTCTTGCCTGCCATTAGTGATGGGCCATGACTCGCTTTTTAGTAAATAAGAGAGAGAAAGAACTTCTTAGGTTGTAGCAATAGGCTGCTCAGCATTCTTTGGGACTGATAGCCACAGAGTGGTGACGAATCCCAAAGTAGCTAAATAAGACACAACCAAGGTTTCAGCCTCCTCATAAATTCCCCCCACTCTCCAAAGGCAGTGTTAGCGTCTGCAAACTTACCTGTATCAGAGCCATGTTCCCTATTATCATTCTCCAGAGTTCTTTAGGGGTGTCCATTTGCCCAATGTTAGCCTGCAAAACAAAAAATACCATGAAGTAAATAAGCTGTGTGTGTTGCAGCATGGTTTGGAATTCCACGTTTATCTACTGACTCTTCTTTTTGCTGCATGCTTTATCTCTTGCTTGTGATACACACTGATTTGGACTTTACTAATTAATCTGTGAAGAACTGATGGTTAGAGAGTCTCTTAAGTCTACTAGAGCTTTCAGGAACTGTTTTCAATCACATCCCAACTACACAGGATTTAATGCCTCCTCAGAACTAGGTTCAGAAGCAGAGAAGACCCAAATTAGGACAAAGTTCTGCATTTGCAATAGCATTTCCTTATGCATCCAGATCATCAATATTCCAAACTGCAACTATCTAAACAGAAATCCACTATTTATTTCATTTCATGTATACACTGCTCTTCTTTCCAAAGGAGACTCAAAGCAGCTTACACATTTCTCTTCTCCTCCATTTTTATCTTCACAACATCTCTGTTGAGATGGGTTAGGCCAACAGTGTGTGACAGCCCAAGGTCACCCAGCAAGCTCCCACAGCATAGTGGGGATTCATACCCAGGTCACACAGATCCTAGGCCAACACGCAAGCCACCAGACCACACCATTTTCCTGCCATGCAGGCTGCCTCTTTGGTCTAATTTAGGGTGGAAAGCTGAGTTCTGTTGGCATTTGAAGCTTTTTTGCAGTTCAAGGTTCAAATAAGCAAGAACAGAAGCCCCTGCCCCAAGACTCTCAGCAAATACCCAGAAAAGCTGCTGATACAGGCATCTACCTTGTACGAAGCATGAGCTATTATTTCTGGCTCACAAATGATTGGTCATGTTGACTCAACTGCTTGTGAAAGGGGCTCAAGGTCTCATATGGAAGAAGATCGGAGTGACACCAGCGAAAAATAAGAGCAAATAAAGCACATGTGAGGTAGTTACCCATTGAGCACGGGGTGATTTTGCAATATCTGGGGTCCTGAATCAGTAGGAATACTTGTGGTGTCTTCAGTTCCCTAGCCAAGGAAAAACTGTGCTATCCTAGATCACAGAAAAGACTCAACGCAAGGGCTCCAAAATGGACTGCGAGCTTCCCCAAAACACATAAAGTTCAAAATGAAGTTATTAATGGCAATGTGCTAGATACCTAGTACTAGGCAAACTTGAATCTTTTGCCCAGAAACAAGGAACTGCTGGAAGAACTCTCAATCTATAACATTAATATATGCACCATTTCTCTTGGTGACAGTCAGGATGTAAGAGGAAATAGGACCCAGTTAAAAGTATTTGTACCTCACCTTTCATGCAAAAACTGCTATAGGTTTGAGATACAACCCCATGTCACTACCCAACTACTGCTGCTTCATCCAAGGTTGAATTTTCCAGATATTTCTTACATCACACCAGTGGCTCTGTAGTCAGTATGTAGGCTAGAAACAGGCTTTGCCTAAACTCAAAAGATATATAAAGAATCCACGTTTCATAGAATGAGATCACTTCTTAAAGCATCCATCAGATAAATCAATAAGAGTACAGCCAGCCATGGCAGCTATGAAATTCTGTATAGCCTCAAGTAAACGTTACCTTAAAGAGCTTGTTGATAGCTGTGGTGCTACCCATTATGCAACTACTCTGTGATTTTTTTCTCCCCTGGGATCAAGTAGCATCATGCCTAAACTGAGCAGGGTTCTATTTCCCTTCTAATCCCTGCTGTTACTCAAGACCAACTCTGTAATTCCATGTCAGCTATCAATCATGAAGACGTCGAAGGTACATTCTACCAAAGACACATGGCCAATCTGAGCAAAGCAGTTTCTCTCCACTGAGAGAAGAACCAAATGCTGCAGACAGATATTAAAGAAGCAATTTGGAAGAAAGAGTAAAAACTATCTAGGTTGCAATCTTATGGAACCTCCAGAATACGCCAGCCCACTCTCTCTAAAGAAGCACCAGAATAGTAGCATATTTTTTTACAGAGAAAACCTAAAGGATGGTTTGCAAAATGATTTTCTCCACCCAAGGAGTAGCCAAAATATGTAACTTGTGAGTCAGATAACACAACCAGCAGCTATCCCTGCTAGCATGGTGGCAGGCTCAAGTTCCACCGTGACCAGCCATTTCAACACACTGCAGCTATATGAAGTGGCTTCTGGTGTCGCTTTCCCTTCATGTCTCATTTCACCAGGTCATGCAGGATGAAGGTTAATAAAACTTAATCAGAACTAGAACTTCCAGCAAACAGAATAGACTTATGATGGCTCTACATCTGGCTAATGCCAGTGAGAAGAGTGGAACACAAGACGTTACGTTAATTCAGTGCCAAAGGGACTGTTGTGAACTTGGCTCAGAGAGGCCTTGCAATTAGGTTAAGGATCAACATAGCTGCCACTGCTTACAACCAGGTTAACTTTTAATCCCCTGAACAGGATGGGAAAAAAAAACCCTTAAAAAACTATTTGGGGATCCTTAATGTGCAGATAATGAGAACTGGTTCTAAGTTTTCTTTCCAAACAGCAAGCTCAGCAACCAAATTCACAGAAGGCTTACTTTAGAAACCCTTTCTGGGTTCCCAACCCCCATAAGTGAGCTCTCCTTGGATGTCTTTCCTTAGAGAAAGAGTCCAGGTTATTCCAGCACACACACATCCAAACTGTAGCCCACAGAGAGGTGAACTTATTTAATAGTCTAGGGTTTTACCCCAACCTGTGCCAAAGAATCCTGCTGTGTAAAACATTAACATATTTAATTAAATTGCGTCAAGTTGGGATGGAATGTTTTCCAAGTGTGAGCCTAGCCTCTTTGTGCCAGTACCAGCTTTTCTAACACTTGTCTTCTTCAGGCCCTTTCATGTACCTAAACTATGTCAGGAAAGCACAAGTCCCAATAGACAGACAGAATGCTGGTTATGTGTTTGCTCACTGCCTCTACATATATGCTGAGACATTAGAGCCAGTTGTGACTTCAACTTATATTTGTAAGCAGGTGTGTCCTTAAGAGGAGGCACAACAAAGGGCTGATTTTGGCACTGCCTAGGATAGTGCGGTGGCTCAAGTGGTTAAGACGCTGAATGCAGGCTGTGGAAGGTCAGTAGTTCAGCAGTTCGAGACCCGAGTGTGCCGCATGACGGAGTGAGCTCCCATCTCTAGTTCCAGCTCCTGTCAACCTAGCAGTTCGAAAGCAAGAAATTGCAAGTAGATAAATAGGTACCACTTCGGTGGGAAGGTAACAGCGTTCCGTGCGCCTTGGTGTTTAGTCATGCCGGCCACATGACCACGGAAACGTCTTCGGACAGCGCTGGCTCTTCGGCTTTGAAACGGAGATGAGCACCGCAACCCTAGAGTCGGACTCAACTGGCTTTCGAGCAAGGGAACCTTTACCTTTTTAGGATAGTGGAGAGAATGGAAGAACACAGCCAAAAGCCTTCCACATCCCACTGGGACGTTCTCCTGCACAATAATGGGAAGAAACATCATTTGTATTTTTTTTTAATCTTGGACACGGAGATATCGGGGGGGGGGGGGGTCAGGCATTGGTGTATCTACCTACAGGTGGCAAACTTTCCTTCCTTCTGCATTCATGGGATCCTGGGTCCACACCTGTCTACTGATTCCCAGCTTCTGCCCATCCCTAGTTTACAGTTTTCTTCAGTGAAAGTCAAAAGGCTGCTTCTGTTGAGTAGTTCTGAATCCAGGGGGAAAAGAATGCAATCCCATCTCAGCCCTGATGTAAGGAGCTACCTTATTTCAGAGTCCAATCTAGTATCCGCAGCCCTGTAGCTAAGAAGTTTTTGGGGAGGGGGCCGGAGGGGACCCACCAGCCAATCAAAGTTAATTAAATTTTCAATTGCTGGGACTCTTAAGGCAGCCCCGGTTGCAACCAAGGGGGGAGGAGAGCGCCGCCACCAACAGCAAGGACAGCCCTGGCACCGCCCTCTCTCCACCTCTCTCGGCGACTGGCCGCCAGGGCAGGTGGGACCCGGCTGTATTGTCTGCAAGGTGCCTAGGGAGCCCCCCTCCCCTCTCCCTGCAGCCCGGAGTGCGACACCCTCATGGCCCAGTGACCGAGCCCCGTGGAGCCGCCTCACGTTTGCCACCCCCCAAGCCCCTGCGCAGGCCGAGCGCCCACCGCGCCCCCCCTCCTCCCCTCCCAGCCTCTGTGTGGCCCCCCCTTGCCCGCCATCCAGCCTCCTTTGTCTCCCCGGCTCCGCTCCTCGCGCCCGCTCTGACCCAGTGAGGAGCTGCCAGCAGCGCCACCACGGAAGGAGGAGGAGAGAGCGCGAGAGCCAGCCAGAAACCTTGGCTCAACACTTGGTGTTGAGGGAGCAGCCGTAGGTGGCACGGAGGGGGGAGGGGGCTCCCCTTTTTCTTCTTCTTTCCCTGACCCTCCCATCTGGACTCTTAAAAATTCCCGTGCTTTCTGGACAGAGTCAATCTTTTCTTTTTTATCCTTGATTTTGAAGGTTATGTCTTCTGGAGTTAACCATCTATATCCAATTGCATTTATCTGTAGAAAAAGAATTAATTCTTTACATTTCCTTCTCCTTTGTCTTATTTCAAATGGAATATCTTTTAATGTTCTGATGGTATTCTCCCCCATTTTCATTGGTGCTCCAGATACTGCTTTTAGGATTGTATCCCTCACATGCCTCTTCGAGAATCTTACCACAATTTCCCCAGGCAGATTATTTTTATTTATATATCCTGAATATGACTTATAGACCACATCCATTTTGTTTAAGAAGAGTTCCGCCTTCATATCTGTTACTGGGGCCAATACTTCACTCATTAGTTCCTTAAGATTCTCTCCCTTTGTCTCTGGCAAGCCCTGAAAGCAAAGAATCATATTAGCCTTTTCCATTTGTAGTTGTAGCAGTTGCTCTTCCGTAGAAACTTGCTTCTTTTCCAGCTTTTGAACTTTCACCTTTTCAGCCTTTTCATTTTAAGTGTCTCAGTTATCTGCGTCTGCTGCGTAGTGATGCACTGAGTCATTTTCGACATCTGATCCTTGAGGTTACTCATTTGGTCCAGTAGAGGGCGCATGGATTCTGCCAAAGTCTTTGCCAGCTCGATGGTTCCTTCCGGTTTAGGGCTCTCCGTTAGTTTCACTTTTGTTTCTCTTTCTCCGTCCTCTTCCCCACCATCTTTCTCAATTGTTTACTTTGAAAAATATTTTGAAAGTCTCTGAATATGCGCTCAAACGCCTGAACTCGCCTTGGTAAGTATTTCTTAACAGTTATACATGCTTTTTCTTCCGCTCCCCCCCCCTCAATTCACTCAAAAGTTCATGCGGTTAGGAAGCGTCCCTCCCCCGCCCGCTTTACTCGAAGTTTTTCAACATGGGGTAGGGAGCTTTCTTTTTCTCTTTAATCGCTCAGTCCGACTCACGTTCATGTCTGGTCTTCTGACCTCGCTTTGCGTCGTTTCGCCCACTCGATCTCCTACGCTTGCCCCGGTCAGCGTCACTAGGTCCCATTCGGGCACTGCGCAGGAAGGACCATTGGGACGGAGGAGCGCCTCAATTCACCCACAACGCGTAGGCGAAGAGGCGACTCCTCATAAGTCCCCTGACTAGGAGCCTTCCGCCAGGCTCCCTGGGGGGGTAACGGGCCAGCGCTCCCCCTCCTTCCTGCCGTGCACAGACTGCTTCCCCGGGAGGTCCAGGAGATGCGTCTGTCTAGCGTGCCGCCAACAACCGGAACAGATGTTAGCAGTTTTTATAGTTCTTCATGATAACTAGTATGGTTGTTATGTAATAGTTGATGTATTTACTAATAAAAGACTTTTTTTAAAAGTTCTGACTCGTAAATGTTTATGCTGGAATAAATGTTGTCAGGCTAGTGCCACTTACTACACTGCCACTACAGACTAAGATGGCTAGCCATCCAGAATTAACATTTAAGTAGTAAGGAATACTTGACATGCACATAGAGACATAATTTTTATTCTCATTCTACATCTTGTACTACAGATCAGTTTCTGAGCAATATCAAAAAATCAGCATATCCTCTGTCAAATTTGTGCAAGGTGTGATTTGTCTTACACAGCATGTATGCTGTTAATAAAAATGAAGTGAATCTATCTATATCTATCTATCTATCAAAAGAATTTATATATACAGAACCATGACATTTGTTCCAAAGACATGCTAAATTACTAGGGTGTCTTTGATATGTTGGATGAGATGTTTCTACTTGGGCAATGGCAATATTTGCATATATGTCACTACTTTGCTCAGAAGTTGAAGCCCTCCTCCAGCCTAAGGAGCCATCCCTCAACTTACACTCTTCCAGAATAAGAGCCGCTCAAGTCAGAGGAAGACTCCTTGGCCTGCAGGGAAACTCCAGACTTTGATGAGCAGAGTGGTGTGAAACATACCATAATGATCCATGGCAAAAAAAAAAGTGTTGCCATAAATAGAGTGATGTACTTGAAATGCAGCACACATCAGTTGTCTGTGTGCCCAAATGCAGAAGTATCAGGAGTAGCAAGGACATACTTGTCAAAACAGCATTTATAGAAACAGGGCATACTGACTATCTGAATACAGAAAAGTTATTTTAAACCATGTTGGGGGATGCACCTTCCTACCATACATCTGTGGTCAAACGTCTGCAGCACATCTGTGGTCAAACGTCTGGAACACTAAGGAACACTGAACCCAGTCTAGCTTGCACCATGTGCCCCTTTCCGAACTGCACTCAACACTGTAGAGATGAGCATGACTAGAGTGGGAGGAATTACTAAAGCGAGACTAAACTGTTATATTCTTTCTCCTATATCCTAAAATAATTAAATGGAAAAACAGGAGATTCTTGTTGCATTAGATGCTCTTCCCAATGGGCCAAAAATCCTTTCTATGGGAAGGCTGGGAGAGCCTCAAGAACACATTTAAATACCGGCCCAATCTAGTGGGTGGCTTCCCCAACAATTATTTTCGTTACTCTGTAAGACAGGCACCAGGAAACAAACAAACTCCATGTCCAAGACAACTTCGTTCCTATACCAGTGAGTTTAGATCACACCACTGGATCCAGCAGATTTAAGTTCCCTGAAAGGGCTTGCCAGAAAACAGCAAGAGGAGGGTGGGGAGCAGACAGGAAAAATGGTTTCACACAGCAAGGGGGAGTCTCATTTCCATGCCAAGGCTCTGCTGCTGTCAAACATTAAATTCTGCCAGGGTGCCACAGAAGCTTAAATGGTACAATTCTGACAGCCCCGTGGAAGGACAACTTAGTGAAGAATTACCAAAAGACCTCAAGTCAAGGTCAAGAAAGAATTTTGTGGTTAGAGTATTTACACAGGAAGTGGAAAAAAACCAAGGATAAAACTTCTAGTTTGGGAAAACCTGAAACAGATCTCTTAAGGCCTATTTCAGACACTGTTTCCTGCAGTTTCTTCCTTGAGGAATCATGAACAGAGATCAGTGTCTCAAAGGTGATGTTCATTACAATGGTTCTGCCTTCTGGAATATTTCTTTGTATGGTGACCTGGTCCCCTTCACTTTGCCCAAGATGACCATCAGAGCTGCTGGATGTCTTCCAGACCGCAGGACCTTGTTCATATACTGCACCACTTCAATTCAAGACTTGCACATTAAGAAGCTTGCACAAGGCATGTGGAAAAGGCTCCACTGGAAATGGTGGGTGAGGATAAGTCACTGGAAGTAGAACAAAACCAAAAACCTTACTGCATCTCTACAGACGATCTTTTTGAAGGGTGATAATTCCTTACATTCCTTAAGGATTGCAGATGTGCAAGAATCCCTAGGGCGAAGCAGTGGCTCATTACAGCTAAGAAGCAGGGAAGAACAGAATAGCAGCAGGTATCTCCAGAGAGCACAAATCAGTGGTTTACTCACTACCCCTTGTCAGAATTACAGCTGTGAGGAACTGACACTGGAGGCAGCTACTTATCAGATCCATCAGGTCAGCTATCCCATCAGATCAAGGCACACCAGTCAGTACCAGCTGGCAATGTGGCGCCCAAACTGACTTAAAAAAAGCAGTAAGCGAGACCAAAAACAGAAAAGGCTCCTTGTAAGAGGTAGCCATTTATGCCATGTCTCTTCCCCTCACAGGCTATGCAGGGATGGCTCCATTGCCTCACTTCCTACCCAGAAGTTGGCAAGAGACCTTGTTCTGGGCAAGTCAGTCACATTTTCAAACTTCTACAACAAAACCAACTGACCACACTTGGGTGAGCCTGTACACCTTCCTAACCAGAAATGGTCCTGGGTGGGGTGGTATTCGTCCTGCTGGGGGTTGCATAGGTACTGATAGCTACCTGTTATGTTCCCACAACGGAGAAAGCAGTGCTCCCCATCGGGGCCATTTCAAGTAAAGAAAATGACACAGGGGAAAAGGCCTAAGTCCCTTTCTCTAAAGGCTGTAGTCCTGCTCTGAATTGGGCCCTCGTGTACTTGGGGAACACAGAACTGCAGAATCTACCTTTCCACCCAACATGGGGGTATCCCTGGTGAAAACACTGTGCTGTTAGGCCCTTTGAAGATGAGGAAGAGAACACAACTCTGCTGGCCAACCAGGCCCTAACTGCTGAGGCTGCAAAGCTTGAGATCCGGAATCCATTTGCGTGCATTTTGACCCCACTTGTACAAGGGAACACAGCACAAATGAAGTTTTTGACAGAGAAGTGATATA